AGGTGAGGTCTTCCAACCGGATCCGACGAGTCTCCTGATTGTAAGGTAGTATGCATGATAACATACAGCCACAACCTTGCCAACCCATCGTACCCTTTCGGTTACTCAGGTATGCGTATGTATTTAGGAGGCAAATACATACAGAAAGCACCAGGTACGAGTTTACGTATTGCTAAGTACAATTTCATTTTATAAGATCGAGGCACTCCAGAGCCCAGAAACTGTCATTTTGAGAACCTCAGAAGCCACTTTGTGACGGTGTCTAGTACTATCTATATGCTAAAAAGGAACGTCTGTAAGCTACCAGTTATTTGTACCTATCTACAAAGGTTTGTATCGTTGTGATGTACTGTGTATGATTGGTTTAAGAACCAGCAGCTCTATCAAGTCACAAGACAAGCCTATCAGACCTGTATTGAGCACGTAACAGAGTGCGGGCATTGCACATGGACTAACAAGAAGGAGTAATCCAGCGGCAAGGGCTGCAGAATCTAGTGCTACTGACACTGGGAGGCCCGCAAGGGCACCAACCCAAACAACACAGGAAAAGAAAAGAAGAATCCAGTCAGAGACATTCACAAAATGCAAAGAGGAACGATAAAGCCAACGGAAGGACCCTCTTGAAGATGATCAAGATAAGGAGGAGAGACGAAGAAATGAAATGACGACGAAGATGAAGAAAACAGGCAGCGAGCACAAATTGGCGAACAAAGTGACGGTATTAGGACGGCAGAGAAGAGGTATCGGACGAGGAAGCGAAACACAACGAGGAACATGAAACTGACAGTGATGAAGAATCCAGTAGCGCAGGATCCGTGGGCACAATCATAAAAACGACAACCAGGACAAAGCAAACAAGAGATCAAGAGACCTCCTGACCACAGAAATTATCAAGCAATTCAGACAGTACGTGAGAAGAGTCGCCGTAGCAACATCCCAATGAATGCAAAGCAGGCAAGGGGCGTCAGGCTATGGATATCTTACTAAAGAACAAGACACCTCTGACTGCCTATGAGGATATCTTGGTTGGCACCATAGAGAACACTGTTAATGGAGTTGAGAGAACACAATCGGTGAGTGCCAGACTACCTTAGGCCCAAAGCATGTGATGACTTGCTCAAGAAACGGTACAGACATACCGACAAGTTTCCGTTTCGAAAAGGAGATAACGCTTCTTCATGTGGTGCAAAGATCAAGGTTGTGTGCCTGGAGGCTCACATTGTTGTGTGGCAGTTGCTTGTCCGATCCCGTCTTACGGTTGATGATTCTGCTTCTTTGTACAATGACCCGTTAGCTCCATCCGAAACTGCTGAATTACTACCAAAGCTTTAACCAGCGACGTCACGATTTTATATGCCAAACACGTGGAATGGTATGGTAGGGGTGCTCCCGTTTTCGCGCTACCTAAAAATGCGCTTCTTAGATGACTCATTGTCTCCTCTGAACAAACGTGGCATGTATGCATGCGACCTTGCTTTGCCTTTGCCCTTGCCTTTGCCCTCAACCAGCCCACGTCTAACCATGCTCGGTGCTCGGTTCGTCTTGGATGTCGTTGGCCCACTCCCTGTCCTCGGTGGTTCTTGTCCCTCTGCGCCAGATCCAAACAAAAGGTCAGTTCACAGTCTTCTCACATACGGTACGGTACTTCTCAGGGTGCCATTTTCCAGTGCTCCTTTGGGAGCTGCCCCTTCCGGGGCCAGTGGTTCCTTTGGAGCCTAGTGGTTTGCGACTTGCCGGCTTGTTCCCCTCGTCAATTCGCTGGAAAATGGCTGGCAGCCACCTTTAACAGTCTTTCATTTCGTCTTCCATTATTGCAACAAGCCTTACTATAACCTTTCTCCTTTACTTCTTTTACTTCTACTACAATCGTTGGTGTTTGGAGTCAAGCTTGCTGGTGGTTTGCATGCATGGTTGTCTTGGTTCTCGTTGCTTCTGGCCGGATTCAATCATTCGGCACGTCCCTTTCAAAATTGGATCTTTGCATGCCCACGTACCGAGTCTCTTCTTCACATAGTGCTTGAACTCGGTCGGGCTCATGACCAGCTAGTGGTTCCTGTCTTTGCTTCGCCCGTTGAGAAGCTTCACGTTGGGAAATCGACGATCTCGGCGCTCGCAACAGCAGTTGATTGGTTGTTTGCTGCGCCCGAGCTCCTGTTCCTCTTAGATAGCTTTTAAGCCTCGCACTTCTTCGCTCTCTTGACCTGCCGAAGCCATCTTTCTCCATGTCTGAGTCTTTTGGTCACTGGTCTGATCGCTGTCTCGATCGTCTGTTGTGTAGCCTTGATAGCTGCATGCTGGCTGGCTGCTTGAAGATCGCGACGAAGAAGCTGCCGCTGCATGGTTCCAGCCAATCCGAACAAGAGGAGCCTGTCATGATCATGGTGGAATAGTAGCATGTAGCAGCCATGAAAGAAGAGTAGCCGATATTTAATGCGGAGATAGTAACATCATCTTGATACAGAGTAAAGGTAAAGGCATCGGACACCCATGCATGGCTGGTTTGAGGCGGAAGTATATCGGCACAGCGTCATTAGAGGGTGGGGATAAGGATTATGGCAATGTCCACAGGGCCTTTTCAGTCTTTTGTGCCTCTAGTAGTCAAGTTAGTCACGCGGACTTTGCGCTACAGTAGCAACTAACTGTGAGGGAATGGGTAGCTTACTTAGATCTTTACTACTACCACAAGGTCTGCCTTACTCCATCCTGCACAAACCATCAGCACATGTATCATTTTTCTGTTTCGTTTTGCTTCCATTGGAAGGGCACAGCTCGCCATACTTTCATTCTAGTTAGCTGACATATAAGAGCACTTCAAGCAATCAATCCGATCACAACAGCAAAAACGCCAAAAGCCGAAAGAAATCCAAACACGTTGCTAGCACCAGAGCACTCAACTGCTTCTTCTCCGTAGCAGCACAGTAGAATATGTCAGCATCATAGGCAACCAAAGTGCGAATCGAAGTCGCTGTAGACTCATTGCGGGCAATTCCAAGCAACTCAAAGTTGATGCTGTCACGGGCAAGGGAAACAATATGGTCACGAGCTTTGTTCGTCTTCATGAGCTCATCGCCCACCCAATCTTTCATTTCCTGGTTAACAGGAATCTCCAAGTGACACAACATTTGGAGGACCAACAATGCACAGTGATGCTTGATAACATCATACTTTGCATCTGAAATTGGCACAGCATCGAATGCCTTCACAAGGTCACTCAACTTGTGATCACCAAAGGGGTAGAGAGCACCAGGAGCAAACTTTTCCAAGCTGGATGTGCCAACTTCCTTGGTCGCAGGGTCCTTTTGGTGGAAGAAGACAGGACCACAGTTTTCATCAACAACACCATCAGCAAGATCTCATGTGGGCTGGGCAAACATGCCCAAGTGGTCTTCATCCACAGCAATGAACAGAGCATACTTTTGCTCTCCACAGCGGACATCAAGCTCTGCAGGCTGCATCAGCTCTTGCAAAACTCGATTACGACGATTGAAAGTAAGACCTCCCTCGCACAAGCCCACTGCACCAACAAGCAAAAAGAGAGTGCAAGAGTCTGGATAAAGGAGATCTTCATGGTTTGTTTCAAAAGTTTTCAAATCAAAGCAAGCTAAAGAAGAATGTTTGTCTGTTGTTTGTGGGCAGAGCAAGGAAAAACTCGCACTTGTGCTTGCAAAGGACTGACTCTTTTACTCAGGAATCTTCTGGACCAGGTGTTGTTTGACCAGAGATGTACCGTACCGGTAGCCTTTGTACTCATTTACTATGAATCAAATTTTGAGATGCCTCTTTGTGTCCTTGCATGATATCCAATTCTTCCTCAGTAGTACCACTGAGTTCGAAAGCCGCTTTTTTATTAAAAGGTACCGTACAATACGTGGGATCTTGAGTTTGAGTACTAAAATAACAATGTGTGTGTACGATGTTAGTGGTATTACTGGCACCTGTTGTACTAATTTACTATGTATCTTATTTAGAAAAGCCTACTAGTACTTCCTTAGTGGTATTACCGGCAGCTGTTGTACTGATTTACTACTGAGTATGTACAGTATCTTATTCCCTACTAGTATCTTGTTTAGAAAAGCCTATACTTCCTTGTGAATACAAATATGAATTTGTACACATGTACTCTAGTATGTACCGGTTTGAGAGTTGTCCTTTAAATGACTCGGGTGTTGTCCCTTAAATGACTCGGGAAATCGACGAACAGTCCTGCCCTAACTTCAATCCAAGCAAGGAAAAGAGAATGAGCGATTTTAAAAGCAAAGGCCCGGATTGGTCGCTCACTACTGGTATCACTGCACATGCAGGAATTTAGTGATTTGACACTGACTACTGGTAAAGCACTACCTGACATATGTCTGCATGTCTACAAAGAACGCAGTGATACTACTAATTCAATATGTTTAGTCCGTACCAAGCTGAGCTCAGCCAGGAGATGAGCTCAGCAGACCAGAGGAGCTCCAGAGGACGGAGTGAGGATCTTGAGAAGAGAAGGAAGCGTCGCTCAATACTACTAGTTGTCGTGGTCAATGAAAAGATCAATCCTGCACACATAGATACTGATGTCTGAGATACTAGTATGGTTGCCATGCCACAGACCATTAAAATTTGCTCTTTTTGAAAGCAGGGGAGTTTTAAAGAAGGTTGGCACCAAACAGGAGTGGTGGTCAACTTGGATTCAAGGAACCGGTAAGCGTAAAGAACATACTACCAGTACAATTCTACATGGCTTAAAAAGTAGTTCCACTTGTGTGAGTGACAGTCATCACCAAATTGTCTAATGGTACACATAAGGGTCAACGATTGAGTAGAACTTTACCTCGGCAGTCTATCTGCCTGAGCCCTCACCCCCTTTTTTGGTATTTCCTGTTTCCTGCTTCCTGTTTCCTATTCCGGTGAAGCCAAAATATAGGGATAGAGATAGGCACAAGCCAACTCTACAAATTTAGGGGTAGGAATAAATCATGGATATTCAAGGTTAGTGCACTCAACACAATAAGCCAGCAGAAGCTACAAAAGTTACAGGTACATACCGGAGTGACAGCTGTAAAATTATGGTTAGCGGGCGGCAACACACGACGAAGTCGGGTGTTGTCGCCAGGGCTACCTTAAATAAAAAAGAAGGTTATAATGAGGGAATGATACGGGGCGGCAACACACGACGAAGTCGGGTGTTGTCGCCAGGGCTACCTTGAAAGAAGGGTGCAATCTCAAACATGTCATCCTTCTTCTATCTGTCTTTCTGCCGAGGTATCGCAGCTCCCGCTGACTTAATTGTTTATCAAGAGATCAAGAGTGACGAGTCAAACAAATCCTTCTAAATAACCCTTGGTGTATGCAGTCAAAGTCAACAGTAAAAAATGGGAAAGCAATTTGAAAGGGCCGGAAATCACGATTTTATGAATCCAACCAAATTGATCAATTCGAAACCTAAATATAAAACCGAAACCAAAATATAAAACCGAAACCAAAATATAAAATCAAAACCAAATTATTATGGTAATTAACTAGTAAAATCAAGTTGAAACCAAAATATAAGATCGAAACCAAAATATAAAACCGAAACCTAAATATAAAATCGAAACACAAGTATAAATCGGAATTTGGTGTAAATCGCCATTTCGGGCCCTTTCTTTCCTCTTCCTTGAAGGAATTGCTGCAGCAGACTTCCCTTCAGCCTTCAGCCACCACATCACGCTCGTAGACTTTATGGGGGGGTTAGGCTGCAGCGCGGGGGAGGGAAAAAGAAGAGGAGAGGGAGAGGGTTATCAGTTGGATTCCCAATTCCAGACATTGAGAGCCTGTCGGCACACGAGATGCCAGTGAACGGTCACCGGGACTACATATCACTTATAGCGAAGAGGGGAAAAGGCAATGACCGGTCTTTCCCCCATGGGTAAGACGTCCGAAGAACAATAAATACGTCATAAAAAGCATCATCATCGCACTGGTCTCACATTGGCTCCATCCGTTTTGAATGAAGGAACGGCTACTTTCTGGCTTGGCTGGCTCTTTTTCCCTCTCCTTCGCTGGGACCAAACCCTCCCATAAATTCGAATCGAATCTCTGGTGAGTGTGTTGTTGTTGTTGCTGTTGCTGTTGTACGCACTGTAGCTGTTGTTGTTGTTGTTGCTGTTGTTTTTGTTATCCACAATGGTGACAATGGCATGGTACTAATGACTATCCTATCCGCCGTCCTTCTACTAGTATCTGTCCACCCATCAAACGTTGTCCTATCCTTCCACTACCGAGGCTCCTTCCTCTACCGACGCTACCGATACCGACGCTCCTTCCTCTACGGACGATCCTTCCTCTACCGACGCCGCGTCCTCCACCGACGCCGCTTCCTCCACCGACTACCACTACTGCTGGTCTATTTTGTCTTGAAGTCAGCGACTACTTCGGTAGGGGCAAGACACCTGGCAAGAGGAATTCCGAGAGAGAGAGGAGATCGCTCCACGAAAATCAACAACAACAACAACATCTCGACCATGAGGATCACAGCTACTTCTCCCGCCTTCTCCAAGTGGCTGCAAAGTGTCAACAGATACCCATTCAATGAGCTGAGGGTTGAAAGCGTTACAGTTCCTCCCACGACTCAGAGTATCCGTGAGTAGATTGGGTCATGTTTTATGAGTCAACACGATGGAACAGAGAACGCTGGCAAGAACACGTTCTCAACGAAACCAAAAAAGGACACGGTAAATTGGAGTATTCGACAGGAGTAAAGCATCCTGCCAACGAACCGTTTCCCGCAAATACCACGTTGACTTCCGTATCAACTACCACGATGTATTGATCCAACACGCTACAACTTGCTTTACTGATCGCATCAATCAAAGCTCACAACACAGATTATGAATTACTAAGAAGCGAACTTTGCATTTACCTTGCACTCGTCTTAATAGTTGCATTGATCTCGTTGGGTGGTAGTACTCTACAAGATCCCTCTATTCAAGTAGTATTTCCCCACGTAGCAGATTAACTAGTCGCGTTACGCACTGCCACACCTTCATCTAAGATGGCCGATGAACAACCAAGCTCAAGCATGTCCTATGCACCTATGCGGCGAAGATGCTTCCACCCCAGGGTACACTGCATCTCACATGCGCATCGCACTTCTGAACAAGGAATCGACGGATGGATGGATCTTCCTACTTCCACCAAGATGAGTTATGGATCTCCAAGCTTCCAACGACACCAACGGCAATCCAAGACCAGTACCTCCACCAGGAAGAAACTACTGCTCGCGGCGATAAGATGTATCACCATTGGTCGTCCAGGAGGAAGGCACCATCCGCGTCGTAACACTGACGGCCGACGCACTCGACGCTTCAGAGTTGGACTCTTCCAGCCACACGGCGAAACGTCCCATGGCAACAAATGAGACGCAGCGTGCCACGATGACCGATGGGAACGTGCAATCGCACTTGGGACAAGAACAATAAGCCCGTCCGCTCAGAGTTCAAAAGTTTCGCGATGAATCAGCTTCATCAAATGGAGGAAGAATTCCTCAACACGCTCAATCCTCAGGTCTTCCTCATTGATTGACTTCAGGTCACCAAGTCGAACTAGACGAGAAACAACGAGAATGGATGTACAAGACCTTCGAAGACATCTTCCAGAAGCACAGCAAGATCTTTCGTCCTTGCCAACGAAACCAGCAAGGACACTCGCGCGATCGGAAGGCAATTGACGAATATTACTCCAAGTCCATGGTCGCAACCTGCGCTCGGATAAGATTTCGTGTTATCTCACCTCCGCCGATATCGCAGAAGGCACATGGAGAGGGTCCCAAGCTGGTTTCATCTCCAACTTCCTCGAACAATTTCGGCAGTACAATGAGATCAGCGATGAGCCATACACTGAACAACAGGGGGCACGTTTCTTGGAACGCTCAATCTCCAAGGCACCAAATCTCGCTCCCGTACGACGTCTCGCAATGCAGACCAAGAAAGCTGCAGGCGACACCTCCCAGTATACTCTCGAGCAGTACCGAGCGGCCCTTCTCGAGCAAGCACAACTCCATGACAATGCAAATCATGCGACGTCACACGCTCTCGAAGCAACGCCGTCGTCGCACCTACCAACACGAAATTCTTCGACGATGGTACAGCGGAAACCTGTGGCGACACCTATAGGCATTCGTCCATGATATGATACACCGGTGGAAGTCCTATTGCAAGCTCATCAGACAGACACTCGTGTCCACGCAAGGTCATGAAACGCAACCACATGGCGGTCGTTGTCCAGTCGGATCAAGAGGCATGGATAATATCTCCGAGCAGGCAAGAAGAGCATCTTGACTACACGGCTGACCTAGCTGTTTGACGTAGTCACCACAACTCTGGGCAATCACGCCCATCCCGCTCAGTCAACTCTCACAGACTCCTCGACATGGGCAGCACCACGCCACGAGCAGCAACCTAGAAGTGTCCTCGCACCAAACAAATCCAACAAGAAGGACACTGACCTATTGCAACTCGCGTCAACAAGACGCATTCAACGCCAAGTCCTTCGCCGGTGATATCGCGCGTCCTATCACAGTCGACCAATACGCTACACGAGGTACGA